TTACTTGGGACATGGTGTTGTCTATGTATCCACACATGTATCTTAGTTTCCTATCAATACAATTATAGCATGGATAATAAATGATTATCATGAACAAGGAAATATAATAATAATAACTAATTTATTATTGCCTCTAGGGCATATTTCCAACATTTATCCCTACACTAAAGCGCAACACATAATATGATTGATTCCAAGAAAAACATAACACTTGTTCTATCAATACACAACGGCACTATAGAACTTGTTTTATTTTATAGCCATTAAAAAGTTTGAATCATAGCATATGGATGCTATAGAAACTAAGCATGGGCACCATTACAAAACCTGCAGCATGCAGTACAAATAAAGAACCTGCCACCGAATTACGAGAAAACCAATTCGTCGACAAGAAAGATCATCACAATTCCAAGATTGTGGTAGGCACAAGAACACCACCACAGAATCAAAAACTAAACCATTGTCTCGATGGCCAGCACCATAGTCACCCACGACATGATGGAGAGAGAGAGAGAGAGAGAGAGAGAGGGAGTCACCTGAACTAAGGGAGAGGCAGGCATGACGTATCGATCTTTTTTATGCCTTAGGTTTGTCCTACCTTAGTTTTTTTCGTCCTCCACCGCAGGGTGGTTTCATATAGAAGTCACAAATTGTCTGATATTTTCAAATCCATTATTAATACCCTGGCACTTAGAGAAATTCACATTAGTGGTGGTAAGTACACCTGGACTAATAACCAAGCCCATCCCACTTTGGAGAAGCTTGATCGCATCCTGATGTCTGAGTCCTGGGAGGATCTATTCCCTTTGGTCTCTGTCAGAAAGTTGGTTCGTGAGATCTCAGACCATAACCCCCTGTTATTGTCCAGGGGTGAGGAGGGACGTGAGGCTCCGAAACCTAGAGAGTTTCGGTTCGACCTATCTTGAGTGAAAGATGACAGATTCATACCGTTGGTCCAGAAAATTTTGTCTCATAGGGTTTTTTCTTCTGATCCCATTGATGTTTTAAACATCAAACTCAAGAGATTTAAGTCGTACTTTAAAGGATGGGGTTCGGATAGATTTGGTCACGATAAAAAGAGAAAGGAAGACCTTCGGATGGAGCTGGAGATGCTGGAAGAAGTAGAAGAAGAGGCCCCTCTTTCCCCTGAGCTATATAGTAGAAAGATTGTTATTTGTTTTGAGCTTCATGAGCTGCTTGTCAATGAGGAAATATGTTGGCTACAACAATCACACGAGCGGTGGTTGCTCAAAGGGGACCTGAACACTGATTATTTCCATCGTATAGCGAATGGACGTAAACGAAAAAACACGATCCACTCCCTTAAGGCTGGTGACGTGGAGATTGAGGGCACTGATAAGCTGATTGAGCATGCCACGAAGTTCTACAAAGAACTGTTCAGTCCTGCTCCTGGGAATCAGTTTCATCTTGCTCCTGACACTTGGGCGCTTGAGGAAAGGCTGAGCGAGGAGGATAATAATGACCTGTGTAGAGAGTTCTCGGAGGAGGAGGTCAAGGAGGCTTTGTTTGACATGGCCTCCAATAGGGCCCCAGGTCCTGATAATATCCCGGTAGAATTCTACCAGGTATGTTGGGATATAGTTAAGGAGGAAATCATGGCCTTGTTTAGGCACTTTCATCGAGGGGAGTTGGATGTGTAGAGGTTGAATTATGGGATTATCACGTTGCTCCCAAAGCTTTTCGGGGCTGACAAAATCCAACAGTTCAGACCTATATGTTTGCTTAGATGCCCATACAAGCTCATCACAAAAGTCCTAGATCGTCGGGTTTCGGTGTATGCTGATAAACTAATTAGCCCAGTCCAGAATGCTTTTGTCAAAGGGAGAAGCATCATGGATGGTGTTCTTTCGCTTCATGAGATCCTAAACTACACTCATGTGAAAAAAAGGGTTGGCGTGGTGTTGAAACTGGATTTTGAAAAGGCGTATGATAAGGTTAACCGGGACTTCTTGCTAGAGTGTCATAAGTTGTGGGGATTCAATGAAACTTGGTGTGGGTGGATTAACCAGATCCTTCAGAATGGCACAGTTAGCATTAAATTGAACAATTGTGTAGCTCCGTATTTTCAAAGTGCTAAAGGGGTGCGTCAAGGCGACCCTCACTCCCCATTCCTGTTTAACTTAGCTGCTGAATGTCTCACAAAGATGATTAAGAATGCACAACATAATAAGCTGTTGGTTGGCTTAGCTGCGGATTTGATCCCTGATGGAGTTGCGGTTCTCCAATATGCGGATGACACAATTATTTGTCTCGAGCATGACATCGTCAAAGTAGTTAACCTGAAGTTGCTGCTGTACATGTTTGAAGTGATGTCAGGTTTGAAAGTTAATTTTCAAAAAAGTGAGATTTTGACTGTTGGGGGAGACGATGCTGTTATTAAGCAATATGTCGACCTCTTTAATTGTGATGTAGGTAGCTTCCCCATCAAATACTTGGGCATGCCTGTTAGTTACACCTCATTGAGGAACTCTGACTGGGAGTTCATTGTGTGCAAATATCTGAAAAGATTCGAAGCCTGGGTGGGCAATGCTGCCTCCATGGGAGGGAGACACACCCTTTTAGACTCGGTTGTCACCCAGCTATCACTGTATCATATGTCTATGTGGTTGATGAACAAAACTTTTATTGAAAAATTGGATAAGCATAGAAGAAAATTCTTCTGGCAGGGTTGTAACAAGAAGAAAAGATATTATCTTGTGAAATGGAGCAGAATTTGCAGATCCAAAGAGAAAGGTGGCCTAGGGATTAAGGACTTGCATAAACAGAACATCAGTCTGATGGTGAAATGGTGGTGGAAGCTTGAAACACAAAGTGGGGTGTGGCAAGATATTATTCATGCTCGCTACTTGCGGAATAAAACAGTAGCGGATGTCGCCCCAAGGTTTTCTGACTCTCCGAGTTGGAAAGCCCTATTGAAAGTCAAGGAGATTTATATGGCTGGTAGAAAAGTTATTACTGAATCCGGGAACATTGCTAGGGTGTGGAGCGATCCTATTAACGAACTGCTTCCGTTTAAGGATCAATATCCGCAGCTCTTTAATATCTGTAATGTCCCTGAGTGTACCATTAAACAAGTGCTAAGTGTGGAGACCGACTCCTTTTTCAGGCGCAGGCTTAATCCTGCTCTTGCTGAACAATGGGGGACAATCTTAGATAGAGTTAACAACCTGCGTCTTACTGACAAAGACGATCAAGTGGTTTGGAGTTTAAACCAGAATGGTAAATTCAGTACCAAATATGTTTACAAATGGCTTGAAAAACCTCTCAACGGGTGCCATTATAAGTGGATTTGGAAGGCCAAAATTCCTCTCAAGATTAAATTTTTTATGTGGCAGCTTTCGCAAGACGCGGTATTGACTGGACAGGTGATGCGCCATAGGAATTGGCCTGGGAATCCTGTTTGTTCTTTCTGCAATGAGATTGAGACTTCCCAGCACTTGTTCTTTACTTGTCCTGTTGCAAAGAGTGGTGTGGCGATCTATTGGGGTGGCTATTGGCACCGGTAAATGTCCAGATAACTATTGGCAATTCTTTGCTTGGTGCCACTCCTTTCTTCCTGGAGAGGGCAAGTTCTATACGGTTGGACTTGCAGCCGCGTGCTGGGCAATCTGGCTCGCTCGCAATAAGGCTACATTTGAAAAAAAGCAAATCAAGTCTCCTTTTGAAATCGTGTTCTCCATGTGCTCTTTTCTTTTGTACTGGACAGGACTGCAGAAAGGTGAAGACGCCGACAAGCTTCGATCAGGTGCCGAGATGATCAGAACCAGCACAATGCAGCT